GTTGAGGCTCCACACCTAGAGCGATTTGCGACCGTTCAGACGCGCGTCAGCGCGTCCGGCGGTCGCAAATCACTCTACCCCTATGGTGTAGAGCAGGTTTCTTGTGATCGGCGGGCCCACGCTGTGGGCCCAAACGATCACAACCTGCTCTCGTCCGCCCCCAGGTAGCGCCGGCGCAGGTGCGCCTCGAAGATCTCGGGATCGAGCGCCCGGCCGGTGGCGCGCACCAGCAGCTCCTCAGTGGAGTAGCGCGCGGCCTGTCCGTGCACGTGGCGGCGCAGCCAGGCGAGCAGCGTGGCGAAGTCGCCGCGCCCGAGCTGCGCGGGAATCTCCGGATGCGCCCGACAGGCCGCGTCGAAGAGCTGCGCGGCCGCCATCGCCCCCAGGGTGTAGGTCGGGAAGTAGCCCCAGGCGCCGTCGTACCAGTGGATGTCCTGCAGGCAGCCGCGGCGGTCGTCCGGCGGCGTGATGCCGAGCAGGGCCTGGAGCTGGTCGGCCCAGGCGCCCGGCAGGTCGCCGAGCGTCATGCGCTCCTCCAGCAGCGCCTTCTCCAGGCGGAAGCGCAGGATCACGTGGGCCGGGTAGGTCACCTCGTCGGCGTCCACCCGGATGAAGCCCGGCTGCACGCGGGTGTAGAGGCGGTAGAGGTTGTCGGCCTCCCACTCCGGGCCGGAGCCGGCGAAGGCCGTGCGGGCCAGCGGCGCCAGGTAGTCGACGAAGGCGCGCGAGCGGCAGGCCTGCATCTCGATCAGCAGCGACTGGCTCTCGTGGATCGCCATGCCGCGCGCCTCGCCGACCGGCTGACGGTGCCAGGCGCGCGGCAGGCCGCGCTCGTAGAGCGCGTGGCCGGTCTCATGCAGCACGCCGAGCAGCCCGGTCATGAAGTCCGCCTCGTCCCAGCGGGTGGTCAGGCGCACGTCGTCGGGCACGCCGCCGGTGAAGGGATGCGCCGAGGTGTCGAGCCGGCCGTGGCGGAAGTCGAAACCCACCGCCTGCATGAGCTGGCGCGCCAGCTCGGCCTGCTGCGCCGCCGGGAAGGGACCGGCCGGCAGCACCGGCGCCGGCGCGCGCGCCTGGCGCTCCAGCACGTCGCTCAGCAGCACCGGCAGGCGCTCGGCCAGTTCGTCGAACAGACGCCCGATGGCGGCCGAGGAGCCGTCCGGCTCGTACTGGTCGAGCAGCGCGTCGTAGAGCGACTTGCCCAGCGCCTCGGCCTTGGCCTGTCCGGCCTCGCGGGTCAGCGCCAGCACCTCCGCCAGGGCCGGCTTGACCCGCGCGAAGTCGTTGTCCGGCCGCGCCTCGCGCCAGATCCCCTCGCAGGCATGGCAGGCCCGGCGCAGCGCCTCGACCAGGCGCGGCGAGAGGGCGGTGGCATGGCTGTGGGCCCGGCGCATCTCGCGCAGGTTGGCCCGGCGCCAGTCGTCGAGCGCCTCGGCCTCGCCCTCCGCCGCGGCCAGCCAGTCGGCCACCGCCGGGTCGCTCACCAGCTCGTGCGCCATCAGGCTGAGCTGGGCGAGCTGCTCGCCGCGCGCGTCGGCCCCGCCGGACGGCATCATCGCCGCGCTGTCCCAGTGCAGCACGGCCATGGCCTCGTGCAGCGCGCCCAGGCGCGCGAAGCGGGTCTCGAGACGGGTGTAGGCGCTCTGCTCGCTCATGGCTTCTCCCTCGGCTCTGCCGCCCGTATAACGCGTCCGCATAACGCCCCCGGGCGGCCCCGCGATCGGCGGGCGTGATCGGCGTGCGGCGCTCCTATAACCTGGGCGTGTCGGCGGCGACGAGAAAGATCGCGATCCGTCACCAGCGCGAGAGGGGACCCGTGAGCCAGATTCCGAAACGCCGCCGCGCGGCGGTCAGCACCTATCGCATCGACAAGCGCAAGGTCGCTTTCGCCGTGCTGCTGCTGCTCTCCTTCGTCGGCTTCGGAAGCTGGAGCCTGCTGGTCGGCGAGGGACGGCCCGGCGACCGGCTGGTCGGCGGCGTGCTGATGTTCCTCTGCCTGGCGATGGCGGTCTTCCTGGCCCGCGACCTGCGCCGCGCCGGGCCGGTGGTCGAGGTCGGGCCGGAGGGACTGCTCGACCGCCGCAAGCCGGACGGGCTGATCCCCTGGAGCCGCATCGCCGGCGCGGAGATCAAGCGCGCCTCCATCGTGCGGGGCATCCGCGTCACCCTGGACGACGGGCGGCGCCTGGACATCGACACTCAGTTGCTGGACGTCGACCGCAAGGAGCTGATGCGGGTGATCGCCGAGACGGCGCGCGCGGCCGAGGCACGCGGCGAGGCCTGAGGCCCCCGGGCCGCCCGGCGCCTACCTGAGCGTCAGCCGGGCGGCACCCAGCACCGGGCCAAAGCCGCCGCCGGCCCGCCCGGTCGCCGCCTGGACGATCACCGCCAGCCCGTCGCGGCCGGCCGCGCGCGCCGCCGCCAGGTCGAGCGGCAGCTCCAGCGCCGCACCCTCCCAGGTGCCGAGCCGGCGATAACTGCGCACCACGTTGGCGTTGCCCAGCGCGCGGCCGGCGTTCTCGCCGCGCCGGACCCGCGTCTCCCGCCAGGCGTCGTAGGCCAGCAGCCAGACGGCGGCGCCGCCGGCCGGCGCGGCCCCCGCCGCGATGCGCACGACCGCGGGCTGCCGGCGGATCTCCACCGCCACCGCGCTGGGCCGGGCCCGCGCCATCCCGATCGCGTTGGCGACCGCTTGCCGGCGCGAGCCGATCACGTCGTAGGTGCCGTCGATCACCATCTGCGGCGTGTAGACCGTGCGCCGGTCGAGCCGGCGGGCGTAGGCGCGCTGCCGGGCGGTGAGCTCGGACAGCGCGAAAGGGTCCTTCCAGCCGATGTAGTCCCAGTAGTCGACGTGCAGCGACAGGGCGATCACCTCCGCCCGCCGGGCCAGCTCGGCCAGGATCGCGTCGGCCGGCGGGCAGGCGTTGCAGCCCTGGCTGGTGTAGAGCTCGACCACCACCGGCGCGCGGGCGCCGGATCCGGGGGCGGGCTCGGTGGCCGGCGCGGGCGACTCGGCCGCCAGCGCCGCCGGGGCACCGGCCAGCAGCAGGACGAGCGGCGCGACTGCACGCAGCTTGGCGAAACGGCTGGACATGGCGCCAGCCTAGCCACCGGCCGGCGTCACGCGGAAATCACCTTGGAGTGAGAGGGGGGCCCCGGGGGAGTGAGAGGGGAGCCCAGCGACGGCCGCGCCGCCCGCGCCCGGCCGTTCGGACAGCAGCGTCGGGCAAGAGGCGGCTTGGCGCGGCCGCCCGGCTTGGGTAGACACGGGCGCGTCATGACCGCTCCACCCGACCACCCTGCGGAGTCCGCGCCGCCCACGCCGGAGATGGCGGAGGACTTCACCGCCACCGCCGCCGCGCAGGGGCCGCTGGCCGCCTACCGCGCCGCGCGCAGGGCCGGCGCGCTGAAGCCCGATCCGGCGCAGGAGCTGGCCGCCGAAAAGCTGGCCGGCCTGGCCCACGCGCTGAAGGGCTACGTGCCGGCCGGCGAGCGCGGCGCCGCCGCCGCCCTGGCCGGCTGGCGCGCGCGCCTGGGGCTGGGCCGGCGCCCCAAGGCGGAGGCGCCGCAGGGCCTCTACCTCTACGGCTCGGTCGGGCGCGGCAAGTCGATGCTGATGGACCT